GATTATATTAAAATTGATCCTTTGCCCCTAGAATTTGGATTTTTTTTTTTTTTTTTTTTTTGGAAGCTTTAAGAAATATTAAAAGGAAGAAGAAGAAAGGCTAATGATAAAGATCAGTCAAGTAGGGCCCAACTCTTTTGTCCTCCAAACATTGTATTTAGCTTTTAATACAAGCTCTTGCTTTGTCCTTGCTAATCAATTAGCTAGCTACATCCACTTGGCAGCTTTGATTTGACAAACCTAAGACCTCTTACCCACTTTTAATTACTTCTTTTTTTTTGGTCGAAACTTTTAATTACTTAAATAAGTGAATGGTACCTACAAGACTACTAGAGATAATCATATCTATGGTGCAACTAATCATACAAATAAAAATAAATTAATTCTAATAATAATAATAATAATAATAATAATAAAAATAATAAATATATATAAAAAAAGACGCCAGTAAAGCCGGGAGGCTATACGCTTTTAAAAATATATATCTATCTCCAGAGTATAGCCGGCGGATATACGCTTTTAATAACAAAATATCCCGAGTATAGCCGAACGGCTATACGATTTATAAAAAAGCCACCTGCGCCTGAGCCCATTTGTCACGTGTCAAATTCGTATAGCCGAGCGGCTATACTATTTTTATAATAAAAACCATAGTATAGCTGTGTAGCTATACTCTATTTATATTATAAAAAGAGACCCGCCTGTCACCTGTCGCCTAGAGCCCATTTCGCCACGTGTCAAAGATAGTATACCTGCCCGACTATACTAATTTTTATAGTATACCCGATCGGCTATACTCTGTTTATTATTAAAAAAAACCTCGAGTTGGAAAAGGTTTGATGACGGTCTGGCGAGCAACCAATCCTGATGCTAGAGATTTTCCTGTTGACATGGGTTTTGCTAACTTGTGTATCGCGAAAACCAGTAACTCGGAACAGAATATTGCAACAACAAAAATGTGATTTAGTCTGTATTGCTTGCAGATATGTGAGAAAGTCTTTTGGGATGATCATCTTACAGGTCGATCTGAGTGGTTACCTTTAGAAAGTTGACTGACATTTGTTGCCTTCACAGAGACGAGTACGAAATAAGGTACAAGAAAAGAGGAAACAGTTCGTCAAAAGAAGAGAGGTAAGTGAAAAAATTGTTCTTGCAAATATATGGTTTAAGTTAGCAGATTGAGCAACATTCATTTTGCTTTTGGATGCAAGGTGGAATCTAACAATGAGAATCAGACTCTGGCAAGCAAAGAAAAATGTGAACTTGCTTTGGAAGGAGCAGATTCCCAAGAACACTTGGATAAGATCGCAATGCTTTTGGATGCTGAAGAGCTGGAGCTCAGAGAATTACAAGGAAGCCCAAATGCACTAGGGTTCTCTGATCATTTTACTACTAATGGAGATCATGCCTGTTCACTTTGCAAAGGTTGGTTTGAGGGAGAACAGAACAAATTTTCCACCTATAAATGCTTGGAATAATTCATTTGTGCTTGGTAATGCTGCCTAATGGTCTCTCATTGCTCTTTACCAATCTTATTCGTCGACGCTCTCATTGCATAGAATGAAGTCATAGGTTGTTCTTGCAAAGATGTTATGCAAACTATGATATACTCGAGAAAAACATATATCAAGTACTATAGATAGATGGAACCTACTTGGAATCTATTGGGGCAGACGCAGGATATCCTAAGCGTGAGTGCCAAGTTTGTGCAGAAACTCTAGAACCTATGGAAGCTGCCAATGCCTGAATTGATGAAGGGGGTCGAAACTGCAATGGATATAAGCCATTCTCACATCTCCCTTGGAAAAGGGTCCTCTGGGTTTTGAGGTCCTTGATGAGAAAAAAAGTAGGATAAATTAGAAAATAGCAATGGTTATCAACAATGAAACGGTGAATAGATAACAAACTGGATGAAGCATTAGGACAACGCAAGACATTTTTAAGAGAGAAATTTGTAGATGCCGTGACAATTTTAGTATTTCCAGTATGAGTTATGCGTAAATCAGAGTCAGTACCTATACCGCCAACCTGTTCATTACCAACATATTCCTGAGCATTATTGAGATTACCAATTTCTGGTGTGATATGTGCATTGGCACCTGTGTCAACGAGCCAAGCATTTGAGGCAGATCGATTTGCAGTGTTAGACTGGGCGGCCATTACAGAGAGACGGCCTGCTGGAATTCGGCCCTCATATGCAGTATTCATCCTATTAAAGCAGTCCAAAGCTTGATGGCCAGGTTTGTTGCAAATCTGGCAAATAGAACGAACAGGGACTGAAGAAGAAGAATCCCCTAGAGAATTGAAAGATCATTGATTGGGAAAGTTGGATCGATTGCCACGGCCACGTGAAGCAGCAAAGGCAGTAACTCTTGTGTTCAGATTAGGAACAGGCTGTGACTGCTCCCCCAAACGTCGTTCAGCACTCAGTAAAAGAGCCTCCAAGGCTTCATAAGTGATTGGAGTAGAACGGGTTTGGGCAGCACTGACTGTGACTTCAAATGCAGCCCCAACATTATTCATAATGATGGAGACCAGATCACCATCTGTGAGACGACTTCCTGCAAGAGCCAAATTATCAGAAATCGAATTGATTTTGTCCAAAACATCAGAAATGGACATATCTCCCTTAGTAGTACGCAGTAACTCATTTCGCAAGGGTAAAATCCGATTTTGTGAGGTGGACGCATAGCGACGCTCCAACGAATGCCAAGTCTGGCAAGAAGTGGGGGAAAGAGCGACAGTAGCCAATACTGCCAGACTCAATGAGTTGTTGATCCAACTGAGAATGGTCTGATCTTGTTGCACCCAATTGAGATAAGCAGAGTTCAGTTGAGAAGTATTTGTGGTTGGGGAATGCTTGGGTGGACATGGCACCGAGCCATCAACATAGCCAAAAAGGTCATGGCTGTGAAGAATGGGAGATATTTGAGCCAACCAAAGTGGATAGTTGGTTCTGTCGAGTTTAATGGTAACAATAGTGGAAACTGCAGGTGGAGCAGCATGGGTGGGTGTGAGAGAATTGTTGGTTGTGGGTGTGGCAGAAACGTTGGTTGAAGATGATGGTGGGTTTGCATCATTGGTAGGAGCAGCACCTGAGTTGTTGGTAGCCATGAGAACAGAAAAAAAAAAAAAAAAAATTAAGGTGTCGTTAGACTAGAGGCTCTGATACCATGTAAAGACTTTGAAATAGGGTGAAAAGCTTACTCAACCAATATGGCTGCAGCTGTGTATTTATATTGATTGTATTGATAAGTACAGGTTTGAAAAACAAAAATGAAAGAAATTGATATGTAATTGATTTGTTATTGTATTCAAGAGGCAGAGCCACGGACTTATAGTTACAAAGCATCCTAATATGGTTCCTACGATCAAGCTAAATCATTCACAAATAAGGAAAGGAATTATTTACAATATTCACAGAATCAACATTCCATTCTAAGCTCGATCTCCTTCAACACTCCCCCTCAAGTTGGAGTGTATGTTGATGACACCCAACTTGCTAAGTAGCACTTCAAACTGTGTCGAGCTTAATGGCTTAGTGAACAAATCGGCTGGCTGATTTGCAGTTCGAATATGAGCTGTCCGAATCATCCCTTTTTGAATTTTCTCTCGAACCAAATGACAATCTATCTCTATGTGTTTGGTTCTCTCATGAAACACCGGATTCGATGCTATGTGTATAGCCGCCTGATTATCACAAAACAGAGTTACTGGCTGCGTGTGATCAACTCCCAAATCCTTCAAAATGCTCTTCAACCATGTGACTTCGCAGCAAGTAGTAGCCATGGAGCGATACTCGGCCTCCGCACTTGAACGTGATACCGTTGTTTGTTTCTTAGTCTTCCAAGAGACCGGTGCTTGCCCAAGTAAAATGCAGTACCCCGTGATTGATCTCCTTGTGTCTTTACAACGTGCCCAATCGGCATCACAGAATGCCCGCAATTGGAGTGACCCTGTAGATGGTAGTAGAATTCCTTGACCCGGTGTATGCTTAATGTACTTAAGCACTTTATGGGCTGCTTCCAAATGTGGTTGCCGTGGCTTGTCCATGAACTGGCTCAGTACATGTACGGCATAAGTCAGGTCTGGTCTAGTTATGGTCAAATATATCAACCTGCCAACCATTCTTCTGTACGACGAAGCATCATCCAGTAATTTTCCATTGAACTGTGAGAGTGATAGATTCTGTTCCACTGGGAACCGAGAAGGTTTGACACCTAAAAATCCAGCATCATCCAAAATCTCCAAGGCATATTTACGTTGCGACAAACTGATTCCATGCCGTGATCTGGCAACTTCAATGCCAAGGAAATATTTCAACTGCCCCAAATCCTTAAGCTTGAACTGGTTAGCCAAGAATAATTTCGTGTTCTCTATATCCTCCAAATTGTTCCCTGCCATTATGACATCATCAACATATACAAGCAGTACTAGGAAGTTACCTTGACGACGACGGACGAACAGAGAATAATCGGATCGTGATTGTTGGAATCCTGCGGCTTTGAGGGCAGTAGACAGCTTGATAAACCACTGTCTAGATGCCTGTTTTAAACCGTACAACGACTTGTGCAATTGACAGACCCGATTCTCCCCCTTTCGTCCGAAACCAGGAGGCAAGGACATGAACACCTCCTCATCAAGGTCACCATTCAAAAATGCGTTGTTCACATCCAATTGGTGGAGATGCCAGCCACGCAGGGATGCCACACTAAGGAGAACACGGACTGTCACCAATTTGGCAACCGGGGCAAAAGTTTCTTGGTAATCAATGCCTTCCACTTGACTGTAACCCTTTGCCACTAAGCGAGCTTTGTAGCGTTCGACCGTGCCATCGGCCTTCAATTTCACCTTATATACCCACTTACAGCCAATCGGTCGTTTATGAGGGGGCAACGACACCAAGCTCCAAGTCCCATTAGCCTGTAACGCATCAATCTCAGATTTCATGGCGGCACGCCATTGGGGAATTTGGACTGCCTGAGAGAAACTCGTAGGTTCTTGCAGAAGGGTAAGTTGGGCAAGATATGTTTTGTGAGAGTGAGAAAGTTGAGCATAAGACAAGGATTGAGAAAGAGGGTGAGCCGTACATGAAGGGATGACCAAGTTCGTGGAAGACATCGGTGTGGTCCTTGAAAGGAGGCCAGGCTCGATGTGGAAGTCTCACAAATAAGCAGGCGGTCGGATGGAGCGACCGCTGCGACGTGGAGCGATGGTGGGAGATGTGGGCGACAGAGATGGGTAAGGAGAAGGCAGCTCGATGAGGTCTGGATTGGGGGATGAAGAAGGCAGATCCGTGAGGTCTGGGGTAGGTGTGATGGGTAAAGTGGGGTCAGATGGGCTGGTGGG